CCCACTAAGCCCTCTTCTGTCGAGGCCCTCCCTGGCATACCGCATCATAAAGCCACAGTGTGGATTTGCCCAGCCCTTGCCTACGAGGCGATCCCTCTTCGCCGCCTCCACCGCTGCGCGCGATACGAGCCGGCAAGGAAGCCTGCAGAAGAGCAAAAGAAACTCTTGAAGCGAGAGGCTCAGGAACTTTGGAACCACCATCTTCCTCAGTTAGAGGAGGAGTGCACAGATGAGGATGTCTTAATTCGTCACTTCGATGCCATGCTGTCGCACTGGCATGCTGTTGCCGAAGAGCTCCTAAACAAAGCGTCCCGCACGCATGAGCTGCTGACAGCGAATAGTGCCGAGCGAGCTAAAGGCTCTGAGCCCGTCACCAAATCGTGGTCTTCTAGCAAATGTGGCCGCGGCCACGACGAGTCGGTCGCGGTGCGGCGTTGCAAGAGATTACACAGAGCTGCCGCTGAGCAGCTCCGTCAAGGAAAGGGCCCTGGCAGATGGACTTGAGCCCCAGGCCATCCCCTGTGTGCCTGCCAACCAGTTTGAAGCCATAGACTTCTCCAACAGAGCCCTTCAGGCCCTCTCGCTTCGCGAAGCTGCTGCCTGTAAGACTTCTTGGGTTAAACGTTTTAAAACGTGGTCTCGGGATGCTTGCCAAGCCACTGAAGCGGTTGTTAAGCCTCTAAACCCCCAGCAGCCTGCCACAGCCGAGGAGCTCAAGGCCGAGTGGTCAACGACACTGGTCGCGCCTGACAACAGCGACCGGGCCTCGGAGTGGAGAGCTTTGGCTAACGAAGGGGGCTTGAATGCTTCCGGTGCTCATGCCCTTGCTACGGTTCCGTTTGAGGCCTTCCTTGCGGCCGCTTCTGCTGCAAAAGGCGTTGCTGGCCTAGATGGCTGGACTAGTGCCGAGCTTAAGTTTCTAGCTAGTGAGTGTCCGTGGCTTCTGTCGCGCCTCCACGGTGTGCTGCAAGATCTCATGGCTCATGCCACTAGCATTGACCTGTCTTCGCACACTACTTGCCGTGTGCTCTACAGTTGGCGCCTTGCTGGCATTCCTAAACGTGGTTCCGAAGAGTCCAGACCGATTGCGGTGGGTTCCATTTTGCTCCGCACTTGGAACAAAGCAGTGCTGTCCTTGCTGCCCGCCACGCCGGAGGGCCAATGGGGCAATCGCAAAAGTCATCGGTAACTCACGCGATTGAGGATTGGATTAAAGCTCCAGGCACCGCCGGGATGGAGCTCGACTTAGCTAAGGCCTTTGACACTGTCAACTGGGGTGCTGCTCGTGAAGCGCTGCTTTTCTCCGGCACTGCCCCTCAGGTCATCGCTCACCTTGCTTTAGGTTGGCAGGGGCCTCGGTACTGCAGTACGACTGGCTCCTTTTCCACTGCCCTGTGGCCCAACCGCTCCATTCCCCAGGGTGATCCCGCTTCGCCCTGCGTTCTGTCTTTGCTCTTGCGGCCTTGGCACGCTTTGATGCAGAACAAGCATCCTCAAGTAGCTTCTTGGGCGTACTACGACGACCGTTCTCTTAAGTCTACAGGTGGTGAAGCTGCCCTCAAGGCAGCCGTGGACGACACCAACCGCTTCGACGCCGCTGTCGGCTTAAGGGAAAACACCCGTAAAAGACAGACTTGGAAACTTTCTCAAGAGGTTGAGCACCTTGGCTTAAAAGGTGCTCCTGCCACTGCGCGTTCCTTTGCCCTCCGAGACGGTTGGGAAGCTCTTCAAGAGTCCTTCGGCCTCCTCTCCCGTCTCCCGGGTGGTTTGGCTATCCGGGAGGAGGCGGTCCGTGTGTTCTTCAAGCCGAAGTGGCAATGGCCTGCGCCTCTTCTCGAGGTCGCTCCTCGCGGTTTTGTTGCAGCGCTCCGCAAAGCGCTCCTCAACTTCACTCAGTGTTCGTGGTGGTGTCAGGCGCGATTCTGGGCTGACCGAATCGACATCCACCCTGCGTGCGGTGCGGCCGTTAATTCGGCTCTTGCTGCTCTCCGTCTAAGTGTGCCTGCTTCTGCCGCCGCGCACACGGCTCTTTCGGCTCACGTGCGCGAGCTTGGACTGTGCATTGCTTCTTGGGATCAGCGCGGCCTTTTCTTGAGCCCGCTGTCTGAGGACCTCTGCTTCCGCAAGATTCTCAGGCCTTACTTCAACCATCGACGGGCTAATAAGCCTGCGCTCAAATGTGACATTGGCAAAGGTGCACATGCGCTTCGCCTGGCGGCACGCTACAGGTGCCTGCAAGAAACCATGCTTACCCGCTTCGACAGCGAAGGTATCAACGATGTTGACATTGACGCTTCAAGTCATGCATGTTGGGTTAACTGGCGCAAACGTCTAGATGCCCGCGGACTACTGCTCCTCGCCATCTTCAGAGGTGGAGCGGTGAGCACTCCTACTAGGAGACAGGCTTTGCCTGCTAACAGCACGCGCTGTCCCTTCTGCGACGGGCCTCAGGCATCAATGCGTCACTTCTGGGCGGTATGCCCTAGCTTTGCACCTGCGCGGCAAAACCTCTCGCAGCGGTATGCCGTGCCGTTGACTTGGTTCCACCAGCAGCCGCGGGTTACCGCCAAAACTGGGTGGATAACATTCGCTGCCTCTCCTTGCAAAGCCAAACGGGCCCAGCTGCAAGTGGCAGCATGCTTACTAGGCCTCGAGGTCATGGAAAGACTTACTGCTTTTCACCCCATCTGGGGGTCGCGACTCAATCTTGACGCCCTCCTTCGGGAGGCATAGCTTGACGACTTTCTCCTGCCGCGAACCGCCTACGGGAATAGGTTGCTGTCAGACAAACATCACCAAGATGGAGGTCTCTGTGGGAACCAGATTACAGGCTCAGACCATGGTGCCAATGCGTCAGTTGATCAAGACGTTGGGATACAAGATGGTGTCTGGAGTCCTGATGCCTGTCGATGTGAACCCTTTGAGGGTTAGAGGACAGAGCTCCAAGTTAACAGTGGATGTCCCCAACTACGTGAACTGGAAGCATTGAGTCTCATTGCGCGCCTCGAAGACAGACGCCTGGAAGAGCCGAGGAACTCAGTCCTGACAAGTCTGGGCACCTGGCCTAGTGGAAGCACTTGTGGTGGCGTTGACTTTTAGGGATCGTGATCCTCGCTGCGCTCCAAGACTGCCGCGAGTACAGGCACTCATTATACAGACCAGTGGAGGGACCACGTGAACTCCAACCATGCGGTCTATCGTAGGGACTGCGCTACATGTGTTGCCTCAAGAGGAACAGGCAAGCAACATCGCCGAGTACATCATCCAGACTCTTACATTCTCACTGCAGATGTGGCAGGACCGCTTATCCAAGGAGTAGATCCCACATATAAGGGGACAACGGGGAAAAATCTACGCTACATCCTCATTGCCAAGTATGTGGTCCCAAAGACGTTCATAACTGTGTACTCGGGCAAGGACGTTCCTGGGGATAATGGAGTTCAGGACGACACCAAGAAGGGAGTTTTAAGAGAGCCCGACGAGAAGTTGTTTGAGGAGCCCGTTCCTAAGGAGCCAGAGAATAAAGTTCAGGGGATACCAGTGGGTCGGCGGAAGTGGAGTATGTTCCAGATGGGCAGCTGATTTCTGGGTTGGATGATCGCGAGGAACTAGATCACGAACCTTCACAGAACCCCCTCCTGAAGATGATGCTGATGAGCCATCCGGTGGAGACTCGTTGCCTCAGCAGGATTGTGAACCACCTGAGCTAACCTACTTGACACTCGGGGTTCGTGTTCCCAACAACCAGTCAGTCACCGTGAGACGCGCGCTACAGGACATCGTTCTCTATACTTACAGGCGCATGGTTTCCCCATTTACAGGTTCCACGCGGATGTGCTTGGCTCCGAGACCAAGGGATTTATGGCACGTGGGCCGAGCCCAGTTTTCCCCAAAGCAACGGAGGAGCTGAGTCAATGGTGCACTGGGTGAAAGGAAGGACCGGGCCAGGACTTTGTTAAGGGCAGCCTCGTTTCCAGTTCGAGTTTGGGCCGTTGCGGTGGCAGCAGCAACAGCAGAGCAGAGGGCAAAGGTACTGGCTTGGAAGAGCTCTTTGGCCGCCCCATTCGGTGCACAAGTCTACCTCAAATAGAAAGGTTTCGACAAAAGCGTTCCTCTACGTCGAGAACAAGGCTTGGACACAAAGTGGCTTAAGGGCAGGTATGTTTGTGTCAGTACAATCTACATCATGGTCACCTGGTGTATATTCCCGCAGAAGGCGAGGAAAACGAGAAATTCCTCCAGACGCTACATGTTCGACCAAATTTGGTTGAGTCTGGTGAGCCTGATATCGAACTACAGGCGGACATCCCTGCGAAGCCTCGAAGAAGGCTGGTGGAGAAGAAACCAGCCGAGGAGGTGGAGAAGAAGGCAGTGGCTGGGTTTCAGAAGGGCTACATGTGGCGCTTCGTAAACCCAAGCAAATGCTTCGCTTTTGGTCGCGGGCTGAGGCCATGGATCTGGTGGCGAGGTCGCGAGCGCGGGATTCTTTGAGTCGCGGAAGCTTGGAGTGTGCCGACATGGAGGAGCCGTGGGATGCTTACAAGGTCTTCCTGAGTAACCGGACTTGTCAAGACTGCTGCGGCGGGTGGTTACGGATCATGTTCCAGAGGCGGCTTTCACTTCTATTCTGGTGTCGTGCAACTGGGGAAGGACCTTCGCCGGGACTCCAATAACGACAACCAAACTAACAGCTATGTTGTGCCAGCGCGATGCCCTGATGATGGTGGTGCATTGTGGATAGAACTCAAGCAGGGGGGATACAGTTCAACGACAAGTGGGGTGCCGGGAAGCGGGAGGAAAGAGGCTATATGGTCAGATGCGCCCATTAATCCATGGGGAAGGTATGGCATTTGGACCTCGGCGTTGTCATGAAGTGGCGCCTTGGCTTGGCAATCGTATAGTGATCATTGCCTACACTCCTCGCAAAGCTCTCACAAGAAGACCTACACCTACTACATGAGCACGGCTTCCCTATGCCACTATCTCAACTTAGTGAGTTCATGGGCAGTGTCAAGACAGAAGGCTCGAATCCGTATTTTTGTGCAACAGCCGTTGATGGGCGACAGGACACACCATCCGAGGAGGAGACCGTCGACGACGAGTGGACCATGTACTTGGACTTGGACCCGGGCATGGTAAAGATTGCTTCTGCTCAGGAAATGGGGATGGATTTGCTTCAGCTCAGCAAGGCGGAGGTGGCCTTCACGAAGGATATCGAGAAGGTGCTCAGAAGACCGAGTGGGCCATTGGAGGTAACGCACAATGTGAGTCCAGCTGAAGTTTTGGCAAATTTGGATGCTTGGCGTCCCGCCATCGAGAAGGAAGTGAAGGGCATCCATGTGGGTGTTGAGCGCCTACTACTACCAGGCGCAGAAGAGCGCAACCGTTGGTTGAATCGTCCGCATGCGCAACGGTTGCCATGTGTTTACTGTCAAGCCTAACGAGCACGCGGACCCCAACAACCCAGAAACGTGGTGCCGTGGTACAAGCGCAAAGCTCGCTTGGTGATTTGCGGCAATTTAGCCGCAGATGAGAGAAATCCTCTTTACACCGTGGCGGCCCCTGCGCAGGGAGTGAGGTCTAGCTGAGTCTAGCTTGGCGATTGCAGTGCGGAGCAACTGGTGGATTTCTGTGTTGGATGTGGTGGCAGCGTTTTTGCGTACCCCGCTGGGCAGAAGGGACACGGACCCAGTTATCATCGCACAGCCGCCCCGCCTCTTGGAGATCGTCAACGTCACTGTTGCTATGGAGTTTGGGGTTGATTCGAGCTCTTTACGGCCTTCGTGCAGCCCCGCAGCTATGGGGAAGTGATCGTGACGACACTTTGAGTGCTGCTGCTCTGCCGAAAGGATTAACGTGAAAGCAGGGTCGTGCGGTCAAGAGCTGCTGGAGCGTTAAGGACTCCCAGAAAACCATCATCGTGATCTATGTCGACGATTTCCTCATATGCGCTCCTCAGTCAGTTGCAAGAGAAATAGCCAATAGTGTCCGAAGCATCTCGGATACGTCTCAGCTGATGTTCTTGGAGCCAGGTCAGAATGCTCGATTTCTCGGAATGAAGTTACACGTGTCAGAAGCGATGCCTAACAAGATTGAAGTTAAGGCTACATCTTAGAGCCCTCCGGGCACAGGCTATCACGCCGAAGCAGCAGGATAAGGTTCCCATCACCAAGGAACTTGCTGCGATTCTAGACAATGAGGAGGAGCTCTCAGAGGAGAAAGTCCGCTATGCGCAACAGATCACAGGAGAGATTCCTTGGTTGGCTCAGAGAGTAAGGCCAGATTTGGCATATACCACCTCGATGATGGCGGCAATGTGTACAAAGACAAAGTAACCGACGCGTGTCGCTGAGATCGGAGTGAAGGTCTTGGGGTATCTTCAGCGTACGATCCACGTGAACTTGGAAGAGGAGTGGGCCAACACGGGCTTGGTCATGTATTGCGACGCAGCCTATGCGCCTCAATCAGCATGCTCGCATGGAGGATGGCTTGTGGTATATGGGGGAGTACCTCTTCTTTGGAGGAGCCGACGCCAACAGATGATAACTCTCTCCACGGCGGAATCGGAACTCCTACCGATAATCGACGGGGCCATCGCCATGAAGGGCGTAGAGGCAATCCTCACCGCGGGCGAGCGACAACTAGCGGATCTTCTTACCAAGGCTTTAAGCAACGCAAGGACGTTTTGGTTGTTGGAGTTTTGGGGAGTACATGGTCGCAATCTACCTTCAACCACGCCTTCAACTACAACACGAGTTTCGGCCAAGATGCTTGTGGCTCTGCTGTGTTGTTTGATGATGATAACAGTGAAGGCAGATAATGCACCCGGACTTGCTCCAAGCGGACCAAGTGCAGTGGGAGGGACATGGCCAATATTTGCATGGCTCTCCTAATGATCCTCGGGAGTGAAGCCTATTTTTAATGGACTCCGGGGGCGAGCACCAGAAAGCTCCGGCGGTTAAGGAAGCTTCAAGCAGCAACTACGGCAGCTATTGAGCAGGAGTTGCCGAATGCAAGAGCTGGAGCGGAGCTCACGTTGGACTACCAGTGGAGTTGAGCAGGAACAACCGTCGACTTCAACTTCAGGGAGACGAATTCCAGGAGAACACCAGGCATCGTCATCATCCTCGCCAAGGGGGAGAAGACATGACGAGACACCACAGGAGGATCAAGTCCGAGTCCGAGATCGTGTGCTACTTCAACACCTATAAGAGTGCGGACGGTGACGCCAAGGACACCGACCGGGAGAGCTCTGGCACCACCCGCAATACCATCCACGAGTACGTGGTCTCCAGCGAGTGATGTATAGGAGAAGGAGAGCTTGCTCGGGTATGCCAGGATGTGTGCCACTTGATGACACAGGAGAATCTTCGAGAGGGCTTGCGCACTGAAGGCCTTCCGGTGTCTGGACTGAAAGATGACCAGGCGCGGCAATTGGGAGCTCGGTTGTTAGAGCGAGGATCTTTGCCAAGTGGGCCAACGGTGAAGCAGCGCAAGTACGCTTTATGGCTTTGGAGAGTAAAGGATCTACAAGGCCGACACTTGCTCCGCTACCGAGACTTCAATGCTAGAACTCGAGTGTCGGCGCTCATCGCGGCATGGAAGAGACCGTGAGGTGTATCGAATGCATGGAGGAGGAGTGATGATGTGCAGCTCACCATGTTCCTTTTGAAGCATGTGCCAAATGTGTTATGCCGCTCATGGCCTCAAGGACGGCTACGAAGAATAGGTCCTTGTGCCACAGTTTAAATAGCAGGCTTGCAGCTGACCAGAAATGCATACACTGTGAACCAAAGCGTGTAAGAAGCTGCGGTAAGCTTTTCTGCAAGAGTTGAGTACTGTTTCGTGTTTGCCGAAAAAATCAGATAGCCTTTGCGTGCTTGGTTGCCATGGTTGCAATCTGAGCATAAGGCCGTGAGGGCGAGGGGTTTTAATCTGTCCTGATACAGATTTTTAAACCCTAAACCCTAAACCCAAAAGAGTTGGGCCTTGGAACTTTCCGGGCACTTTCCACGGAATAACTCTGCAGAAACCTTTGGAAGCACTGCGCAAAGACCCAATAGTGGGGCCGTAGTACTTACCTGTACTAATTTGGGGGTTCTTTATTATATTTATAATATAATTAATGGCCCCAAAACCCTATTCTAATTATACAGGCCCCTCTATTCAAGCCTGAGGCTTGTGGTGCGTTCTGGAGGTGGCTGCTTTCATCAAAACCCACGAAGAGTCAAAGCTGATTATTCGGCCAACCGTCTGGGCGCCCGCCGCCGTCTTCCTGTTCCTTCGCTGTAGGATTTAGGATGTAGGCCTTAAGCCCTAAAATCTACACCCTAAACCTCCAAACCCCTACATCCTCAACCCGAAACTTAACCTTTCGGGGTTCATGGGGAGGTTTGGTACTACAGGGGCCTAAATAATTACCAATACTATTGCAGGAGTTCTTTATTATGAGTATAGTATCATATACCCCAAAACCCTATTCTAATTATTAAGCCCCTATATTGCGGTCTGTTGGAACGTCGGATCTCGGCGGCCTAGGTTCTTGACCAACTGGATCTTGGTCGTGATGTCCAACATCGTTAGGCCTCCCGGCCGTGAGCACATTTGTCTATCTATCCATCCATCCTTCTATCTATATATATATATATATCTATCTCTATAAAATCTACATACATATATTTGTATTTATATTTATACTTATATTTGTATTCATTTATTTGTTATGTCCACCAGAAACCTTAAGCCACTGCCGCCACATCCCGAAGCTTCATGGAGGGGCCTCTCCCGTCCTCAGCCCTGCACCAGGTGTATGGAGTCGGATCTGTGTTGAGGGGCCCACTACCCTTTCCCTCTGTTTTGGGGTGGGTTGGGAGGGTTGCGTTGTTGGAGACACAAACTCGAAGAGATTACATCAAACACCGAAGCATGGACGAACTACCTTCATTTTTCGCAGGGTCTCGCAACGTAACTACACCCCGAAACCCTATTCTAGTGATTCAGGCCTCTACAGTACAGTCAAGGTCCTGGTTTGTTGACGACAGCGAGTGGGCGAGCTTGGGCACCTATGAGTACCTGTATGCGCATGTGCGTTCCACTGCTGCCAAGGCGGGAGGGGTGGGTTTTCGATCCTTTGGGGGTTGGGTAGTCTTATTGTTTAGTATAGAGGCCGTAATAATTGCCCATATCATTTTAGGGGTTCCTTATTGTAATTATAGTATAGTGGGCCCCAAAACCCCATTCTGTTCCTGTTTCTTTGGTGGATTCCCGGGGACGTTTTTATAGGATCGGTGGGAGAGTGCCCGCAGCTCTGCAGCTTAGATCGGTACAGCTGGTCAGCGACGCACACATGTAATTCGGTGTAGGGTTTAGCTTTAGCCATGACTAAGCCAGGAATTTTGGAATTTCCCGAGCGGGTTTCACAAATGTCGTCAACGTCTCAGGCCATCATCTCCGTACCTCTTACGATGGTCGTCGTCCACTACTGGCGAATCTGGGCTCCTAGGGTTTAGGGTTTAAGGCTCGGGTCGCGAGCTCTTTTTAACTTAGCACTGTAATCGACATCTTTTGCAATAATGCGGCTTCTTTCTATGGCAACCTAAAGTCAAATCCTTAAAACACCCTGAGTTCAAATCCTTAACAAGAACCCAGGAGCGCACATAAGGGCATTGGAGACAGCGAGTAGGAGGCTGTTGAGCTTCCGCTTCGACCAGGACATCGCCATTGACCCCATACCCTAAAGGGACCTCCAGAAAGTTTTAATATGGTTTCAGGGTAGGATACCCTAAAATTTATCATAAAGGGTTTAGGATAATCATATTCCAACTTTCTGGTTTTTTCCCTAAACCCCTACTATAGAGGCCTTAATAAATAGAAAAAGGGTTCCTTTAAAGGGGTCTATAGGGGTTGCTATACGGGGTCTATAGTAAGGGTACCAATACATAGAGGCCTTAGTAATCAGAACAGGGTTTTGGGGCCCATTATGTTGTAATTGCAATAAGGAGCCCCCAAAATAGTATGGCAAATTATGACGTCATCTATATTAAGTCCTTGACCACTTAAAGGATCATGGGACTTAGCAATTAGGGTTATAATCAGGGTAACTCTACTTATAACTACTTATAACCCCAATTAACCTACTTATAACCTTACTTACTAAGTCCCATGATCCTCCAAGTACTGTAGAGGCCTTAGTAACTAGACAAGGGTTCCTTTAAAGGGGCCTATAGGGGTTGCTACACGGGGTCTATAATAAGGGTACCATTATATAGAGGCCTTAGTATTCAGAAGAGGGTTTTGGGGCCCATTATACTGTACTTACAATAAGGAGCCCCCAAAATGGTATGGCAAATTCTTACGTTATCTATATTAAGTCCTTGACCACTTGGAGGGGCAGGGGACTTAGTAAGTCGTTCATAAGTAGGGTTATAATTGGGGTAACTCCATTTAGGGTACTTATAACTCTACTTATAACCTACTTACTAAGTCCCCTGCCCTTCCAAGCAGGACATCAGATGCCACTGCTGCGCCATCAGCCACATCCATCCGGTTACCGGCCGCGCGATGATATGCGACCATTACACCATTCGCGAATGCTTGTGCCTCTGGTTTGGCTCTGTCCAGCAGTTCGAACAGATCATGCAGGACAGGGTCTTTCACGTGTTCAAGGGAAGCTCCGGCAGACAGTCTATTCCGTACCACTGGATTGTCGCGACGGGAGTCCCGAACCTTTGGAGTGGTATTTGGATCGGAGTGCAGACAGCTTATTGGTCAGATATTGCAACAACGGCTGCTATGACGTTCCTGTTGTTGTGCGCTTGGCTCGTCACCCTTCCGCTTTGGCAGCGCCTACTGCAACTCGGCACAGCCCCCAAACTAGGTCGGGTTCGACCTCCCCGCTTGCATCAACGACTGGAGAACAGAACTGCGAACCCAGGGTCCCGGTATGCTCTAATATAGGAGCCTAAATAATTACCTGTAGTTAGGGTTCTGTACCTTATTAGAATCATAGTACTAGGGGCCCCAAAACCCTATTCTAAGAATTAAGGCCCCTATAATACATATCTCTACATCCTACATCCCAGGAGCTTAAGCCCGAGAAAACCCCCTCTCGCCCCCAGGCTGCAGATGGCATACAAGCTGCGGCAGAAGCACTGTTGGTGGAAGGAGTTCCTCATCGACTTGGCTCCTGGTCTCTTCGGGTTTTAGGTTTTTTGGGCTTTAGGGTTTAGGGCCTAAAGGGGTTTAGAGGTTTAGGGGTTTAGGGTTCTAGGGGTTTAGGGGTTTAGGGTTTAGGGTTTTAGGGGTTTAGGGGTTTAGGGTTTAGGGTTTTAAGGGTTTAGGGTTTGGGGTTTTAGGGGTTTAGGGGTTAGGATTTTAGGTTTTAGGGGTTAGGGTTTAGGGTTTTAGGCCGTTTCTTGTGTGGGAAGCTTGACTCTTGGCTTGCAAGGTTGAGGGTTTTGGTGGCTTGTGCTGTTCAGATGTGGGAGTTTCTGAAAATTAGGGGTACCTTATTTGGGGTCCTCACAATAGGTTTAGGGTTTAGTGTTTGTGCTTAGGTTTTAGGGTTTAGTTTAGGGATGTTTAGGGTGTCCTCGATCCCCATACCTTGGCAGGTCCATCTTGAGATGAGGGTTGTAGGCAATTAGCGGCCCCATTTTCGATGCTGATTCGTCTGAACTCTCAAAATCCAACCCCAAAGCCCTGAACTCTAATCCTCAAACCTGTCTTCCATAGAATCTGTTGCAAGTGCGAAAACGTTGCATCGAAAACTCAGTTAAAGGTTGTGCCAGCAAACAGGTTGAGCCGACAATTCGTTAAATTCGGACTTGGTGTACGATTGTATTTCAACAGAGTGACCCGGTTGAGCTAGAGATATCAACAACGTTTTCCACAAAGCGGTTACGCCGCTGTGTTTCGTTGCACATTAGCCTACGAGAGTGATATTCCCATGCGACATGTGTACGTACATAGCTAGCAGCATCGATTGAATTTGAGCTTGTTTAATGGGGGTAGATCTGCTGTTGCCAATACCAATGCCAATACACTAACTATCTCATAGAAACGATTTTTGTGTTTTGTGGTGTTGTTGTTTCTTGTGGTGGGTGGGTACCTTTCAGGTTTGAGCCAACACCGCCGTCAAGCTATTCGCCAATGTTAAACCTGAAACTGATCTCTACTGTAATCCCTGACCCTCGCAAACCTTGTATAGGATCCTGATTTTACAGACTGCGCCCCACCCGATGGTGAGATCCCACAATCCAGCGACGTCAAGTCTATACTTTGAGAGTTTAGGGTGTAGAGGCGTGGGCGGTTTCGCCGACAAGTATCTGGCCTACAATCTTAAGGAGAAGCCTCAACTGTCACTGCGTGCTTTCAGCTCAGGGCAGCAGTCATCACAAGTGGCACCATATGGGTAGTTGTCAAGATTATGTTTCCGTTTGGGGTACCCTAAATATTAGGTGCCGTTTTATCAGGACCGAAAAAGGAATGCCACCCATATGCTTAGACATGCTCTCCATGATCAGTTTACTAGGCCCTTAACCGTCAACCCTACCCGTAAACTATATAACAGGTTCTGTTGGAAGTTCGGGCCTAAGCTGAGATTCGAGGCCTTGAATGTATGGAAGTGCATGGGCTGAGAAGGAGAAAGGCGTCATTCAGCTTTAAGGACTCCGATTTAGGGGTTTAGGGTTTGGGGGGTTCAGGGTTTGGGGTTTAGGGGTTAGAGGTTTAGGGTTTCAGGTTTCGGGTTTTGGGGGTTTGTGGTTTAGGGTGGACTCATGGGGGCTTTGTAGGGGGTTCTGGAACTGTTCTGTGAGGGTTTCAGGACATGTGCTTATTCCATTCGTAGGTGGGACCTCTTTACCGGACTCTGGGTGTGTTTTGGTCTTGGCTTATCTGTCATAATGACCATGGCAAGCCTAAGAGGGAGAAGGCGGCGATGCTTGAAGTGGCCTAGTTCTCTAAGGCACTGGCACTGTGCTATCTCTCCTTTGAGATCCTCTACAATATTGCAGATACACTGCTGGTCTTCCTTCTCGAGGACGTGTGGGCTTCTGGCTACATTCTGCAACTCGCGACGGTTTTGCCGGCGATTGTCGTTTTTCGGCGCTGCTAGTGCGCAACACAAGTCTTCCGATCGCTGGAGTATTTCGTGCTAGCTGCCATGACAAAGTCATGTGAGCAGCATATGCCATCTGTTGCTTCTTTTAACTGGTTGGTCCGAAACCACCGCCTCTACCGACTGAGCAGGAGACGGCCGAATGTTCTCCTGCCCTCTCCAGCCATATCTCACCACTCGTTTCGTTGTAAAGCCGGTGGCGGCAAGCAACGCAACATCACTTTGAAAGTGGTGTTTGCTCGGTCTACCCTGGATGAGGAACAGGATCAACCCCCTTCTCGGTCAGCAGTTAGGCAACTGCAGCAAAAAGCTCGATTGTCGTTCTGCAGTCTGCATTTCTTGTCCTGACCTGGCCAGGAAATCTTCGTGCTTGATAATCATACTACTAGCAGCTAGTATCCATTTGCGACCTCGTCATCGTCTTTTTTGTCTCATGAAGCAGTACGGTTGCTTGTGCCCTTCCCCAAGCGTATTGTGTAGCATACAACTGGCAGCAGTGACTGGAATACCTTCGTTGCTATGCCTGCCCCGAAGTAAACTCGGTTGACTGCTGTGGAACAGAGGTCGCAGCCTAAACCCTAAACCCTAAACCTACCTCACGGTCAGAAATCCTGTGTCGTCGACCTGACAGGCACGATCTGCGGGACTCTTATGGAAGCGCAGCAAACCCTTCAAGGCGCAGCGGCCCAACGCCCTGCGGAGGCATAGATGGAGAGCGGTAGAAGTGTCAAGTGAAAAGTCTCACAGCTCTGGCAAGGTTTTGATAGAAGGGTCACAATAATCAGGAATTAAGACTATCACCAAAGCCCTATTCCAATTATGAAGACTCCTGTACCCCGAAATCCTCATACTGGAAACACATTGGAGAAGCAGTCTTCGAATTATGAAGACCTCCACATTCCTATGCCATAATGCCATAGTTGCAGTTTGAACTTTTTAATACTATCCCCCCTCCCCCCCTCCCCCCCTCCCCCCTCCCCCCCTCCCCGACCATGGACTAGAATCTGGCCCGCAGTGCCTGAGCTCCTCTCACCATCCTCGGATGCAGTTTTGCCACATACGCTTCCAAGCCGAACCTCACTCAGGTTTAATATAGGGGGCTAAATAGTTACCAATACTATTTTGGGGGTTCCTTATCATAAGTATAGTATAATGGGCCCCGAAACCCTATTCTACTCATTAAGGCCCCTATATTAGGCTTAGGGTGTAGGGGCTTTGGAGTTTGGGGTGTTATTTCAGGTTTAAGGTTTGGGGTTAGGAATGGTTTAGGGTTTAGGCTTAGGGAAATGTCGGTGAGGCGATACCTTGGTGGTAATGGAAGAAGGTGCATGCAGCTGTTGGGTAAGTTTGGTATTCAGACAGCCTTGGCTTTGTAGTGCAAAGTGTCAATCCTCTCAGCCTAAGCTAGTCTATCACAGTTTCCGTGTTCGTATCTTTATCAGCGACAATGTCGTGGAAAAGGCAATGCAAAACGGAATGGACACCTTGAAGGATATGTGGATGTATACTTGTGTGAATATATGTGTGTGTATGTATATATATATATATATATGTATATACACACACACATATATATATATACACATATATATATACACATATATATATATATACACATATATATATATATATATATATATATTCGCAGACACGTAGAATACAATCGCAGTTGACACATCTTTCTTACAAGGATTCATGGGGATTCAGAGAGTGCTCTCCTTGACTTGTTAAAGGACCCTTGGAAAAAGGCAGAGGGAGGGGAGGGTAGGGCTCTAAACCCTGAGCCCTAAACCCTAAAATCCTACCTTATTATAAATATATCCTATCCCCAAACTGAGGCCCCAACCACAGGCTCCTCCTGGTAAAGGAATTCTAGCTGCTGGACAGATGGAAAAGAGTCCACAAAAAAAAACCCAAAATTAAGGCCGTGCAGACCGATCGAGTAGGGAGCATCAGATCTCGTTCGCGGTTTAGGGTTTAGGGTTTAGGGTTTTGGGGTTTAGGGGTTTTAGGGTTTAGGGTTTAGGGGTTTAGAGACTTGTGGGGTTTAGGGTTACATAGGTTTGGGGCTTAAGGATGCTTCCCGATGTGAGTCAAATCGTAACAAGAGCTCCTGGCCCGCGTAAAAGTCAGGTTTAGGGTTTAGGGTTTAGGGGTTTAGGGTTTAGGGTTTAGGGGTTTAGGGTTTAGGGTGTAGGGTTTGTGTCCTCGTTTCACTATACACACAGACTTGGCCGTGCATCCGTGCATAAACAGCACTTTGCTTCACAGCACTCCAGGGAAGATGATTGATGGATCTCGAAACCTCAAACTCTAGGTTTCAAGGAATCCTAGCATCCCTTTAAAGGGGCCCCAGGATTCCTTTTTGGTTGAAGGGCTTTATTGCCAAACCCTACGTTGCAACGAAGACGAGATTTCCTCAGCGACCGGGATCTATGGCTCCTCCACGGTTTAGGGTTTAGGGTTTAGGGTTTAGGGTTTGGGGTTTGGGGTTTAGGGTTTAGGGTTTAGGGTTTAGGGTGTATTGGTTTTAGATGGGTCTCCTAACCTTACCTTTGGTTAGTAGGGAATGGAAGAATGGTAGTAATAGTAGTTATAATTGTACCCCATTCCTCCATTCTCTGTGGGTTTTTGAAGGGTCTATTTTATTTTTCTGCGGCCATGTCTTCGGCTGCCTCGGACCTACCAAAGGCTGCTGTTTCTTTCACAGGGGGCAAGGATTGCCACCTGGCCTGGCACCGCATCCTCCGCGGCGGCAAGTACCAGGTCATGGGATGTTCTGAAACTAGTTGCGGGGATTACACCACAGAAGAATGTTTGCGGAATAGTTTTCGTTTGGCATCTGGCTAAATGACGACGGAGGGGTTTGGAATAAAGTTGTTCGGCAATCTGGGCCCATCCGGTTACCGAGTCAGCAGGTGATGACCACTCCAAACCCTAAACCCTAGACCCCAAACAACCCTAGACCTTAAACCCAAAAATCCTAAACCTTAAGCCCTAAATCCTAAACCCTAAACCTTAGACCCTAAACCTTAAACCCCAAGCCCTAAACCTTACACCCTATTTTCGCCTCCTCCTTCAAGGCCCGGAGCAGGTAAGCCTCGAGATTTCTCCCAACCTCTGCGCCAAATCTCTTCAAGGGCTCCAAGGAGGTTTAGGGTTGAGGGTTTAGGGTTTGGGGTTTAGGGTTTAGGTTTAGGGTTTAGGTTTAGGTTTAGGGTTTGGGTTTAGGGTTTAGGGTGGGATGAAGGTAGGTGGGACGATCCCAAAACAAGAGTCCTTATATAAGGGATCCTTAATCCTACCTTCATCACACTTTTTGAGCCCCTCCAAATCTCCACATCCTACATCAGTGTATTGCAAAATACTACAAGAGCTACTCTGGTATGCTATCGTCTACTAGAGTATGTAACAGGTACTGTAGTATGCCATAACTTGCTGCACTGTGCTGTGTTCTGCCCTAATATCGTTCTACGGTTCACTTTCGGTGTATCCAAAGGGAGCTAAATCCAGTCAAGGGTTGATCCCAGCTCAAAACCCTATTCTGACTGTTCAAGCCCCACCATTACCAGGTCGTGGCCTTGGTGGCATTCGGCCCCAAAGCAGCCAAATTTCGAGCGCACCCCTTGGAATGGCAGCAGCTGCAAGCGAAGGCTGCGGGCGTACCCTTCTTCCAGTATGAGATTGATGCAGATGCCCATGACGGAGACTACAAGCGGGCGTATGGAGCCGCCATCCAACAGCTCGTGCAAGATACTGGCATTTCTTGCCTTGTGACAGGAGACATTGACTATGTGGGCAGCATGACCACCAATTTCATCACAGAAGTTTGTGAAAAGCACGTGCCTTGGTGTGGGGTAGAGTTGCCACTCTGGCAGCAGGACCGTGAGGAGCTGCTGCGAGAAATGTTGTCACCTGAAGTGGATCTGGATATCCGGTACACCTGCGTCAAGTCGCCACATTTCGATGCCTCGTGGATAGGACGGCGATTAGACCAACATGCCGTAGACGAGATGCGAAGCAAAAGCCAAGATGGATTGGATTTGTCGGGCGAGAACGGCGAATACCATACCATGGTCGTCAATGGGCCCATGTACCGATGTGGCAAGGGTGATGGTCTCGCTTTCGAAGCTGTCCAGCCGCATGAGCTAGAGCAGCAAAAAGGGCAGCCATCGGATCAACGCTGGTTTGTGTGTGACTGGGGTCCTTTGGGATCTTTTTTTTTTAATTTCCCCTATCATTTTGTAGAGAACCAGGACCATAATAGTAAATAATTTTCAAAGGGCTTAAAGGACAACTCAGGTGACCTAGAGCAAACCATCCTACGCCAGCGCTAGCACGGTGTTCTGAAAGAAGTCCGGCGAGATGGGCTCCGAAAAGGTCCGGAAGACTTCTGATGGAAGGGGCCAGAGGCTACTGTGCCTTTAAAGGCGTGTTATAGGGTACTATAAGGGTTCCTTTCAAGGGAGCTAGACTAGAGTTTTTGGGGTGTGCTATGCGTCAAGGCGCATGGCGCGTAGCTTGGGTCGAAATTCGGCCTCTCTTGGACGAGATTTTCGCGCTCGGCTGGAAGAAGGACTGTCTGGTTCTTAGTTATGGGGATTATTATTGGGGGTTGTATATGGACTACTGTAGGGATCCCTGTAAAGGAACCCTTATTGCACCCAATAGTACCCCTTCAAAGGAAGCCTAATGAGGACTACCATAGGGAACCATTCTCCCATTCCCTACTAAGCACCAGCCAGGAAGGAGACTGGAGAGGGTTGCCTGGAGCTGCGGGACCCGAATTTCAGACTTTGATTTAGGGTTTAGGGTGCTGGGTACTAAAGGGGCCAATTCAATTGCATATATATATTTTTTTTTTGGGGGGCTTCCTTCTTATAATTAGAGTATACTAGGCCCCAAAACCTTGTTTCAATTATCAAGGCACCGAAATGAATAGCATTTTACGTTTTTATCGGTACTTAAACCCAGGAAGGAATAAAATAGAAATTCGA